AAGAAGAAAGGAGAAAAGGAGAAGACAGAAAATTGAAGAAGAGGAGAGAAGAGGAGAATAGGAGAGAAAAGTGAAGAGGAGAGAGGAGGAGAAAGGAGAGGAGGAAAGAAGAGAAGAGAGAAAAGTGAAGAGGAGAGAAGAGAAAGGAGAGGAGAAAAGAAGAGAAGAGAGAAAAGTGGAGAGGAGAAAGGAGAGGAGAAAAGAAGAGGAAGAAAAGGAGAGGAGAAAAGAAGAGGAAGAAAAGGAGAGGAGAAAAGAAGAGGAAGAAAAGGAGAGGAGAAAAGAAGAGGAGAGAAGAAGAAGAAAGGAGAAAAGGAGAAGACAGAAAATTGAAGAAGAGGAGAGAAGAGTAGAATAGGAGAGAAAAGTGAAGAGGAGAGAAGAAGGGAAAGGAAAGGAGAAAAGACGGGAGAGGAGGAGAAAGGAGATGAGAAAAGAAGAGAAGAGGACAGAAGGAAAAAAAGGGGGGACTGAGTATCAAGGAGAAAAGAGGAGATGAGGGTAGTGGAGAAATGGGGGTGGGTGAAGGGGGAAGAGAAAAGAGGGAAGAAAGGAAAGGAGAGGGGAGATGAGAATTTAACAGTAAGGAAGAGAGGAAATGAGTGGGGAAATGGGAGAGATGGGGAGGAAGGGAAGTGAGGAGATAAGAAGAGGAGAGAGGGGAGCACAGAGGGGAGGCGGAGGGAGGATGAGAGGTAGAGGGAGAGAGAAGTGGAGAGAAGAGAGAGAGCAAAGCAAGGAGAGGAGAATGATGAGGGTGAGGAGAGGAGAAGAGAGGGTCTGGGAGAGAACAAGACAAAGGAAAGTGGTTGAGAACGAGAGGAGAAAAGAGAAGAGAATATGGAAGAAAGAGAAGGAGAGGAGAGAAGTGTAAAGAAGAGAGTGAAAATCAGGGGAGAAGATAACAGGGAGCAGGGAGTAGAGGAGTGGGGAAGAGAAAGAGAAGAGAAGAAGAGTGAGATGAAAGAAGGTAGGGGAGAGAAGAGGAAAGATGAGAGGAGAGAAGAAGGAAGGGGAATGAAGGAGCGGAGAGAAGAGAGTGGAAATCAGAGGTGAAGAGAGGAGAGAATAAGGAAGGAGAAGGGGTAGAAGAGGAGTGATGAGAGTGAAGATGAGATAAGAGAATAAGAAAGGAGAGGAGAGTGAAGAGAGTGGAGATGAGAGGAGAAGAGAGGAGAGAAGAGGTAAAGAGAGGGTAAGAGAGAAGAGTGAAGATGAAAATGGAGAGTGGAATTGAGAGGAGAAAAGAAGAGAGAAGAAGGAAGGGGAAGGAAAGAGAGGAGAGACAAGTAGAGAAAAGAGTGGAGATGAGAAGAGAGGAGGGGGGAGTAGAGGAGTGGAGAAGAGAAAGAGAAGAGGTGAGATGATAAAATAAAAGAGAGAAGAGCAGATGAGATGAAAGAAGGTAGGGGAGGAGAGGAGAAGAAAGGAGAGAAGAAGGAAGGGGAAGGAAGGAGAGGAGAGAGTGGAAAAGGTGAAGATAAGAGAGGAGAGGGGAGTAGAGGAGAGGAAAGGAGAGAAGAAGAGAGGAGAGGAGTGGGGAAAGGAAAGAAGAAGAGAGGAGAGGAGTGGGGAAGGGAAAGGAAAGAAGAAGAGAGGGGAGGAGAGGGGAGGAGTGGGGAAGGGAAAGGAGAGAAGAAGAGAGGAGAGGAAAGGAGAGAAGAAGAGAGGAGAGGGGAGGAGAGGAGTGGGGAAGGGAAAAGGAAAGAAGAAGAGAGGAGAGGGGAGTAGAGGAGTGGGGAAGGGAAAGGAGAGAAGAAGAGAGGAGAGGGGAGGAGAGGAAAGGAGAGAAGATGAGAGGAGAGGGGAGTAGAGGAGTGGGGAAAGGAAAGAAGAAGAGAGGAGAGGGGAAGGGAAAGGAAAGGAAAGAAGAAGAGAGGAGAAGGGAAGGGAAAGGAAAGGAAAGAAGAAGAGAGGAGAGGGGAAGGGAAAGGAAAGGAAAGAAGAAGAGAGGAGAGGAGTAGGCAAGGGAAAGGAAAGAAGAAGAGAGGAGAGGAGTGGGGAAGTGAAAGGAAAGAAGAAGAGAGGAGAGGGGAGTAGAGTAGAGGAAAGGAGAGAAGAAGAGAGGAGAGGGGAGTAGAGGAGAGGAAAGGAGAGAAGAAGAGAGGAGAGGGGAGGGGAGGAGTGGGGAAGGGAAAGGAGAGAAGAAGAGAGGAGAGGAAAGGAGAGAAGAAGAGAGGAGAGGGGAGGAGAGGAGTGGGGAAGGGAAAAGGAAAGAAGAAGAGAGGAGAGGGGAGTAGAGGAGTGGGGAAGGGAAAGGAGAGAAGAAGAGAGGAGAGGGGAGGAGAGGAAAGGAGAGAAGATGAGAGGAGAGGGGAGTAGAGGAGTGGGGAAAGGAAAGAAGAAGAGAGGAGAGGGGAAGGGAAAGGAAAGGAAAGAAGAAGAGAGGAGAAGGGAAGGGAAAGGAAAGGAAAGAAGAAGAGAGGAGAGGGGAAGGGAAAGGAAAGGAAAGAAGAAGAGAGGAGAGGAGTAGGCAAGGGAAAGGAAAGAAGAAGAGAGGAGAGGAGTGGGGAAGTGAAAGGAAAGAAGAAGAGAGGAGAGGGGAGGAGAGGAGAGGAAAGGAGAGAAGAAGAGAGGAGAGGGGAGTAGAGTAGAGGAAAGGAGAGAAGAAGAGAGGAGAGGGGAGTAGAGGAGTGGGGAAGGGAAAGGAGAGAAGAAGAGAGGAGAGGGGAAGGGAAAGGAAAGGAAAGAAGAGAGGGGAGTAGAGGAGTGGGGAAGGGAAAGGAGAGAAGAAGAGAGGAGAGGAGTGGGCAAGGAAAAGGAAAGAAGAAGAGAGGAGAGGGGAGTAGAGTAGAGGAAAGGAGAGAAGAAGAGAGGAGAGGTGAGTAGAGAAGAGGAAAGGAGAGAAGAAGAGAGGAGAGGGGAAGGGAAAGGAGAGAAGAAGAGAGGAGAGGGGAGGAGAGGAGTGGGGAAGGGAAAGGAGAAGGTTAGGAGATAGCGGGGACACGGTCGGGAACGATAGGAGGACTGGAGCGCCTCATTGTAATGTCCTGTCATTCCTTATTACAGGACAAGGAGAATGAAGCCTGCGCTGTCCCCGGGGGAATGTTCACATCTGAGGTCTCTGGTACTGAACTCGGTGATGAGAATGTGAGTGAAGCTTTTCTTGTGTCATGTGATAGGAATTTGTAATAAAGTGTAACAGAGAAAATCCTGAGCTTGTGCAGAGCTGAGGTGGCGCTCAGGACCTCACCGCACAGCATGCTGGGAGTATTGTTAGCGGGAACTGAACTCTTCCACGATTGGGTCGTCTCCAACTCTTGTATCCGAGCCGAGCTCAAAGTACAAATGTCGGGTTTAGGACAGACGAGTGGTCCGAGGTCCCCTGTCCCGATCTCTGGTATGTAGCCATGTTATCAGTAAGCACATACGTGACCTTCCTTGTCAGGGGGAATACAGAGCAGAGACACCGGGACATGATACATTGTTACGATACAATATGTAGGGAGTCAATCTGTGCAGGGAGAAGACCCCTCCAACCAACATACTGTGCACATGGTTACACCGCACTTCCCAACGATTAAAGTCTACTCCAGCCAACACAGATTTGTGGTTATCACAGAGAGTAGGGAACGGTTAAACCTTCATCAGTTGTTCCTTCTGGTCCCCCCGGATGATGCAGTGTACAGCCAAAGAAGAACCCTTGCAGATGGTTCCACAACCAACCTATACATCAACCAAATGTCAAGTCTGATCCGCTTTGAAGCCCATCCACGTCTACCTCTATCGGGAAGGTTGTCTTCCTTCCACGTCTACCTCTATTGGGAAGGTTCCACGTCTACATCTATCGGTAAGGTTGTCTTCCTTCCAGGTCTACATCTATTGGGAAGGTTCCACGTCTACATCTATCGGTAAGGTTGTCTTCCTTCCACGTCTACATCTATTGGGAAGGTTGTCTTCCTTCCACGTCTACGTCTTCATCTATCGGGAAGGTTGTCTTCCTTCCACGTCTACGCCTTCATCTATCGGGAAGGTTGTCTTCCTTCCACATCTACCTCAATCGGGAAGGTTGTCTTCCTTCCACGTCTACCTCTTTCGGGAAGGTTGTCTTCCTTCCACGTCTACCTCTATCGGGAAGGGTGTCTTCCTTCCACGTCTACCTCTATCGGGATGGGTGTCTTCCTTCCACGTCTACCTCTATCGGGATGGGTGTCTTCCTTCCACGTCTACATCTATCGGGAAGCGTGTCTTCCTTCCACGTCTACATCTACATCTATTGGGAAGGTTGTCTTCCTTCCACGTCTACCTCTATCGAGGAGGTTGTCTTCCTTCCACGTCTACATCTATCAGGAAGGTTGCCTTCCTTCCACGTCTACCGGGAAGGTTGTCTTCCTTCCATGTCTACATCTACATCTATTGGGAATGTTGTTGGGTGTCTTCCTTCCACGTCTACCTCTATCGGGATGGGTGTCTTCCTTCCACGTCTACCTCTATCGGGATGGGTGTCTTCCTTCCACGTCTACATCTATCGGGAAGCGTGTCTTCCTTCCACGTCTACATCTACATCTATTGGGAAGGTTGTCTTCCTTCCACGTCTACCTCTATCGAGGAGGTTGTCTTCCTTCCACGTCTACATCTATCAGGAAGGTTGCCTTCCTTCCACGTCTACCGGGAAGGTTGTCTTCCTTCCATGTCTACATCTACATCTATTGGGAATGTTGTCTTCTTTCCACGTCTACATCTTCATCTATCAGGAAAGTTGTCTTCCTTCCACGTCTACATCTACGTCTATTGGGAAGGTTGTCTTGCTCCCTACTCATTAGAACAGCTACCGAGCACCACCTGGATCAACAAGTGGAGCCATCCAAAATGGCCGAGCTGAGGGGTACTCCTTAGAGAGATGGCCGCCATTTATGTTCAGGTTTCAATTACCAATAAACAGGGAACCTTTCTTAAGTGAAGTTACATTTTTGAACCCCCTCAAACCTCCTCCTGTCCAATCTGCGTGCCCGCAGGGACCCCGGTGCACAGCAAAGGCTCCTGCGCCACCTTGGCGGTCCATGATGCTGAAGCACCGGCACACGGCCAGGGGTCTCCTCCAAGGATCACTTTATTTCAGAGCAAAACAGCTCTTAGAGGTGGACCTGAACTGTCAAAAGAACCTCTTTGGAATGACCCGGCACATGTATGTTATCTGTTCTCTGCCAAAGGGGAGGGCCATTGTTCATGCAGAACAGCTGATTTTGGTTGGGAACCATTCTTCAAAGCCCCATCGTTTTTTTGGTCACTGGGTCACCTGCCAACATGGACCCAAAGTCTTCGAAGGCTTTCAGCTGAATATTATGTACTCTCGTTTGGGGGTTTATTGCAACATTGAGAAGTTGTGTTAAGAACACAGGCGTGTACACATGATGGATCAATCATAGATGGATGGAGTTGGCTTTTCCATTGCAGTCATTCACTGCAGGTCTACAATATTCACCTGGGATGTGTTGAGTGTCTGCGCCTCCAGGTCCTGATGCTGGGCTTGTTCCTCAGCCCTACAGGCAATAGCCATACCCTTCACACCCAACTAATAAAGTTTGATAAAGGCTGAAGGGCATCACCAGGTCCTGATGCTGGGCTTGTTCCTCAGCCCTACAGGCAATAGCCATACCCTTCACACCCAACTAATAAAGTTTGATAAGGCTGAAGGGCATCACCAGGTCCTGATGCTGGGCTTGTTCCTCAGCCCTACAGGCAATAGCCATACCCTCCACACCAACCTAATAAAGTTTGATAAGGCTGAAGGGCATCACCAGGTCCTGATGCTGGGCTTGTTCCTCAGCCCTACAGGCAATAGCCATACCCTCCACACCAACCTAATGAAGTATGATAAGGCTGAAGGGCATCACCAGGTCCTGATGCTGGGCTTGTTCCTCAGCCCTACAGGCAATAGCCATACCTTCCACACCAACCTAATGAAGTATGATAAAGGCTGAAGGGCATCACCAGGTCCTGATGCTGGGCTTGTTCCTCAGCCCTACAGGCAATAGCCATACTCTCCACACCAACATAATGAAGTATGATAAAGGCTGAAGGGCATCACCAGGTCCTGATGCTGGGCTTGTTCCTCAGCCCTACAGGCAATAGCCATACTCTCCACACCAACCTTATGAAGTATGATAAGGCTGAAGGGCAGGAGGCTGCACTGCAACAATGTGTCCCATCTGTGGAACAAGCTCTGACCTAAAAGTGTCCCTATCTAGTGTCATAGCCCTAGTAGAGTGCTACTGTCACAATCTGGGATCAGGCTCAGAGTCCAGTAGCTAAAACAGCAGGAAAATTTGTGGTATAACAGGACGGGTTGGGTAGTAGAATAGGAGAAGGCAGAAGCGTAGTCGGAGAATAAGCCGAGGTCAGTAGCCAAAGGTATCCCTACGCATAATGCCAACAACTCCGATCTCTTCATCTAAGGCCATGTCATCAAACCCTTTCTCCAAGAACCTCAGTTTGATAACTTCATATTGTTGGAAATGATCATCAGAGGTATCACTGTCGCTGGGAATACGTTGAGACCAATGGTATCAGGAATGTAGCCATGTGTATCAGTAGATTTGAGGGTTGTCTTAGTCAATGTTCTACCTAGGACACCATGATGGATCATAAAACAATGTCCTTATCTGTGGGCTGTAAGACTCGCTGGATTTACGAGTAGACGTAGAATGGGATATAAACTGTTTTATTGACCCTAAACCAGGTTTTTATGACGCCTTCTGATCTATAACATGGAATGTATTATTAGGAGGAAAACCTAATTATATCCTTAAAAGAGAACTATGAGGTCAGTGTTTTCCCCATAGTTCTCCTAAGGGTCACAGGAGGACATAAACTAGCGTCCTCCCGTCACCCAAAGCTCAGTATAGTTATTACTGCCGAGATCCTCCCAGCTGCGTGTTTGTTTAGAACTATGAGGCTGGGGGAAAATCACTCGCCTCATAGTTCTCCTTTAAGCAGAAATGTGTGTTCTATACCCTTACTGGTTAATGGTGATGTCTATATGCTTTGATGCCCTTGATGATGTGACGTCCTAGTGGGTGAAACGCGTTGTTTCCCAGAAAGGTCACAGTCCTCATCCACAGAACTATTTGGGAGGTCCCAGTGTGCAGTTATCCCCTAAGCAAGTGCTGTTGCCAAACATAAAGTTGGGAAGATTGCTATTAGCATGAAGCGACGTATTAAGCTTGGCACAGTGAAAATATAGGTAGGTGGGTGTATGTGGTCCAGGCCGTCCATGATTACTATTGTTGTTGGTTAATTAAAATAATCCACAGTGGGCCCACAGTGTAGAAACATTTGGGTTCTTCCTTTGGGTCCATTGATTTGTTTTGATTGTTATGACTGCCCATTTATTGCAGTCACAGCTGGACCACTATCACACCCGTCCCTATGCCATTGCCGGCACTCATTGTTTTATCCACTAGGAAGAGAAGTGCCTGAGTTTTCCTTCTTTTGGTGAGACCGCTGCACCTGCTGTGCCCATTATGAGGGGCCCCCACCATCCCTGTGCTGAGTTCCCGGGTCTGTACCCCCGCTGTGCCCATTATGAGGGGTACCCACCATCCCTGTGCTGAGTTCTTGGGTCTGTACCCCCGCTGTGCCCATTATGAGGGGTACCCACCATCCCTGTGCTGAGTTCTTGGGTCTGTACACCCGCTGTGCCCATTATGAGGGGCTCCCCCCATCCCTGTGCTGAGTTCCCGGGTCTGTACACCCGCTGTGCCCATTATGAGGGGCTCCCACCATCCCTGTGCTGAGTTCCCGGGTCTGTACACCCGCTGTGCCCATTATGAGGACATTTTTTAGCTTATCCAAGCCACAGGAACATGCCCCAGTATTTATATTCACACGGGTAGCACAGACACCTTCATCCAGTCACACGTGGAATGTGTAGATGTTGATTGTCCAAGATGGGCATGTCGAGAGGTCTGAAGGTTGGGGACCCCCTTTGTTATAGGTACATAATCCCATCCTTGAGGGTCAAGGCACCTGCACAGATATTAAACCTGTGACTCCCATGGCTGAGGGGGGGAGACATTTTATGTACAATGATAAGCAGAACTTTCCATCGTTCTCTGTGAACTCTTTCATGAACAATGTTTCTTTCTTCCTGTCTCTCTGTAGATTTAGAGAGCAAAAATTTATTGAGGTGGTGAGGGCTCTTCAGGGGTGTCCTTGGAAAGAAGATAAGAAAGTACGCGACCTGCTAAAGTAAGTAAAGAAGCCAATAAAATTGATCACATTCTGTGTGTGTACTTACATTGGAGGTCAGGCAACAAAAGATTCTTTTGTACTTTTCAAAGGCAAATTAAAAAAAACAAAAACCACCCACCGGCACATTCTCAGGTTTCATATTATGCCGTGGTGTAAAGCGCGCCGCCACTGGACTCTAGAGAAGTGGAGGCGTGGTCTCTGGAGTGACCAATCACGCTTCTCTGTCTGGCAATCCGATGGACGTGTCTGGGTTTGGCGGTTGCCAGGAGAGCGGTACTTACCTGACTGCATTGTGCCAAGTGTAAAGTTTGGTGGAGTGGGGATTATGGTGTGGGGGGGAGGGGTTGTCCTTCAGGGGTTGGGCTCCGCCCCTTAGTTCCAGTGAAGGGAACTCTTAAGGCATCAGCATACCAAGACATTTTGGACAATTTCATGCTCCCAACTTTGTGGGAGGAGTTTGGGGACGGCCCCTTCCTGTTCCAACATGACCGCGCACCAGTGCACAAAGCAAGGTCCATAAAGACATGGATGGGGGAGTTTGGGGTGGAGGAACGTGACTGGCCGCACAGAGTCCTGACCTCAACCCCATAGAACACCTTTGGGAGGAATTAGAGCGGAGACTGCAAGATATTAAATTCACATTTCTCCTCAGTATACACTCAGGAAAAAGACGGGTGTAATGGAGATAAGAAGGTGAGCAGCTTGGGCCGTCAGTGTTAGAATACACATTACTGTGTTTATAGCAACAACTCCTGCAGTATACAATTTCAGCCACTAGATGGCAGTGTTTATAAATTCTGTTATATATATATATCTATGGTAGATACTCTGTTGTGTTGAAAAAGGTTGTCACCATCAGGAAAACTTATTTGAAAAATGCCATGCAGCCATCGCTGGAGTGCATGTAGATAGAAAGAGGGTGCAAAGGGATCCTCAATTAAGGAGGAAAAAGAAAAAAAATAGGTGAAAGGAAGAAATGTTTTAAATTGCATTAATGAGATTTTGATATTGATTTAAAACAGTGAACAGAACAAATGTCATCCATTTGGGGATTAGATGATGATTAACTGCCTCCGTGCCGGCCATAGTAAAAAAACGGCCGGCCCGGAGCTCTCTAGCTCTAGATCACCCCCTCAGACCCCCCAGCGGCGCGCGAGCGGGAAATGGCCGCAATTTAAAAACAGGCAGCGATGCCTGTTAACATACAAGCGATCCGCGGGTCTTCTTTTTCAAGCCCCTTCACTCTGTGGCTTGAAAAAGAAGACCCACTCTTCGAAACGCGTAGCCAGTTTGAACACTTTCACCCACCACCTCCGCCACTCGTTCTCAACCGCTGTACCTCACAGACACACCGCTCGCTGCTTCAGGCTCGCTGCTTCGGGCTCGCTGCTCGTGCCCTCCAGCGGTGTAGTCTCACCCCGACCTCAACATCCACCTCCAGGTTATCTTCCTCACCATTGGCTTCCCCCGGACATTCCCTGCCTGACAGCATCAACTGTTCACCGCGGCCCCCCCACACACACACAGTTCTCAGGCACACATCCGTTAGCAGCCAGCACGTTTCAGACAGCCAGTCCTTCTCCCAAACCCGAGCCTGCCCCCCCCCCCTCCGATCCCTGCCACACTAAACGTCTGACCCAGATCCCCTTTGACATCGTATTCTTCCCAGCACCAACTATTGCCACATTACCCTGCCCACCACCACCAGCAACCCTGGACTCCCAATTCATCCACACTTCGTCGCTGACAACGCGCTAGTACCCACACCCTGGTAAGTCTCATTCCATTATTCCCTTATTATCTTTTCTTGCTCAGTCACCACTTGGTAGTGCGCTTCTGTATTTTTTGTCTTCTCTATCAGTAAAACGTTGGACACCCCGGTCCGCAATTTTAGGAGCCGCACACCAAGTACCGCAACCGACATTTGTTTACCCTCACCTCAGGGGCAGCGCTGCATTAGAGGACATTCCTCCCAATTTTTTCGTGGTAAAAGCTTTTAAAGTGTCGCCTATGGCCAATTTTGGGTATGGTAGATTTCTGCGATGTCGCGGGTGCGCGCAATTTTAAAGCTTGACATGTTTGGTGTCTATTTACCCGACGTGACCACGACTTTTATATTTTACCAAAAAACTGGGTAATAATAAATGTTTCCTAACATAATGTTTAAAAAAAACGATTTTTTTCAAAATTTTCAGTAATTTTTCCTAATTATAGTAAAAAATAAAACCCGTAGTGGTGAATAAATACCACCAAAAGAAAGCCCTATCTGTCCCCCAAAAAATGGTATAAAATTTATTTCCGTACAGCGCTGCATGACGGAATAAATGTCAGTCAAAGTACCGCAGCGCTGAATACTGAAAAATGGCCGGGCCAGGAAGGGGGTGTAACACCTGGTCTTGCAGTGGTTAATATACGAATTCTTGCTCATTGCTCAGGGCGGAGTTTCAAAAATGTTGCAACGCCTCCTACTCAGCCTTCGTGACGCAGGAGAACACTCCAATCGGACGCACAATCCACTTTGATGGACATGAAGGAAAGAAGAAGGTCACCGAGAGCCTTCACAGCCTGTTCCCAAAGGTGGGTCATGGCCAAGAAACCGAGTTCTGTCATTTCTTTCTAGAGATCGATTTCAGGCTGTCCGGGTCTGCGAAACACAAAACTGGTGAACGGAAAGGTAAACTCATGGTGGGGTAGGGCTGGTATACGGGGGGCTACTGCCAATGCTGGACCGCCTTAAAGGAGAACTAGTGAAAATCACTCAGCCTCATAGTTCTAGCCCACCTGTGATGAGGGGGCGGGTACAGCTGGCTCTGCCTCTGGATAGGCAGAGCCAGCTGTCACTCACGCAGCTGGGTGGATCCAGACAGTATTGTCGGGATCCGTCCCGGCTGCGGCGTCTCAGTATACCGCGAGCTGTGGCTCCCTATATACTGAGCTTAGGCTGACGGGAGGACGCTAGTGTGTGTTCTCCCGTGACCCTTAGAACTATGAGATGAGTGATTTTCACTCCTCCTCATAGTTCTAGCCGACCTGTGACAATGAGACTGTCGCAGGTCGGCTCAGTAGATCGGGAGGTGAGGGAACACATACCGGCGTTCGCTCACCTCTCGATCCTGTCACGGCTCTCTGCCGTGACAGGGGAGAGACTGGATTCCCCCCTCCCCGCTCTGATCCTCCAGCGCTGACTGGCGGAATGGACAGGGGAGGGGGCGGGCACAGCTGCCTCTGCACGTCGGTCCCGGTGATCGGTGGTCGATTGGTAGGGTCTGCTGCAGACCTCACCAATCGATCCTGCACAATCCTTCCGGCCAGCATTCACTGAAAGAGCGCTGGCCTGAAAGGATCCGGGTGCCGGCGCAGACTCAGCTACACGGTCTGCATCCGACAGAGATGCAGACCGTGTAGCTGCTCCCACAAGTCAGGTACGCGGTCCTTGACTTGTGAGCGGGCTGCGGGCCACAAAGTGACAGCCCGCGGGCCGGTACATTTGCCGCCCCGCCGGAATCTGCCGCCCGAGGCAAACGGCCTTGTTTGCCTCGCGGCAGATATGCCCCTGCCTGGATGGTGGGGGGGGGGTTATGACTTTCAGTGTAAATAAGTCAACATTTTAGATGCGGGGCCATGGATTTTTGTACTGTTTTGGTTGTTGTATCTTCGAAATGAGTTACACCTAATCCTGTCCTCGAAGTCATGAATGGAGCTCCAATAAGGTGGAATTGTAAACAAAGTTTCATCTCTCTTTTATCGTAGAATTCCCCCTTCCAGAAGCCATTCAAAAGCTGTGCAGTGGTGGGCAATGGCGGAATTTTAAACAACAGCTTTTGCGGCGCTGAAATCGACCACGCTGACTTTGTGTTTAGGTAAGAGCAAAGATAAGACTATCCCCAAAAAAAGAGAAACCCAACTTGACTGAGAGAGTCTCCCACCTAAAGTCATAACATTTTATGTTGATTTCAATGTTTGTAAATGTTTAAAAAAAAAAAAAAACACTTGTTTCTATGCACACTGTAGTGCTAAGGCCCCGTTCACACTGAGCGGTTCATTGCGCGATTTCCACCGCGAAAATCACGCACATTTCGCGATGTCGCTCTACGTAGCTCGTCCAATGCATTTCAATGGAGCTGTTCACATCTCACAGCTCAATGTCGCCTGTAGCTCGTCGCTCGTACGTGACCCTTTTTCCCGCGGATGTCGTGCGATTCGGCTCCGACAGACTGTATGGTGTCGCGCATTACCGGCGATATTGCGCTACTTGGTCGCGCTACAGAAGGGGTCACTTTTGCACTGCAAGAGGGAAGGAAAGAATGATGTCACATCAAGATCGCTGTTGATTGGTTACAGCCCAATGTAGCAGCGACGAAGTCCCGCCCCAAAAAACGTGCTACGTAGCGCGATAAAATGTGCACTGTCACTCAATATCGCGCAATGAAGCTCCTAGCCGCTCAGCGAAAAATCGCGCGAAAAAACGCGCAATATACACGTCGCTCAGTGTGAATGGGGTGTTAGTGTTGTTTGGCATCTGCTGGACTTTAGCCCTCGTTCACACCTGAACGTTTTGTAGCGCGTTCTACGCTCGACGAACGCTCTACAAAACGCTCAAAAATATAAATCCCATTGTATTTAATGGTCTCGTTCCCACTTTGGCGTATTTCCGCCCGTCCCTAACGCGCTACAAAACGGCCCACGCCTGAAAAGGTACAGGTACTACTTTGGGATACAGCCAAGTAGCCTTCGGAAACGCGCGACTTTTTTACCACATATGCAATACGCCTAGGTGTGAACGAGACCTTACTCAGCACTGCAGCTCAGTCCTCTACAGTGCACACCTGTTCTAGTCAGGAGTGTTTAAGTTGACTGCTGGATATTCAGCCTATGCCTGATCAACAGTCCGTCCTCTTATGACCTCGGGGTTTGCAAATGTATTCAACAACACCTCTGTTTTTAACCTTACATTACATATACAAGGTTCTGCTTCCTGCTTTGCAGTGCTAACAGGCATCCCAACCTGCAAAACCTTATTTCAGGGAGGTTCCCGTCTCATTTCAGGGAGGTGCCCTTTCTGTTTTTTGGGGGTTTTTTTTACAGTGGCCGTCGTCAGAATATAAAATAAATAATAATGATAATATATATATAGATGTACAGGTGAAACTGGAATAATTAGAATATCGTGCAAAGTTCATTTATTTCACTAATGCAACTTAAAAGGTGAAACTAATATATGAGAGAGACTCATTACATGCAAAGCAAGATAATTCAAGCCGTGATTTGTCATCATTGTGATGATTATGGCTTACAGCTCATGAAAACCCCAAGAACCCCAAATCCACAACCTCAAAAAAGTAGA